GCCTACATTTGTACATTTGTATTATGTACTATTGTAACGGTGGACCTATTTTTCGATTTTTGGTAATACGTAGGGAGCTCAAGGGCGAAAGCCTTCTTCCCTTAATAAAGTGATTTAAAGTGACTTAAAGCTGCCGAGAGGATACGTGGCTTAGCCAACGAGTCGCATGAGTAGGAAGGCCTGTCGACATCCTACAACCTCAAGAAAAGTATTGGTTTGGCATAACTGCTTCCGATCTTGCGAGTCTGTGTATCTTGAAATAAATATATAACCACACTTCTATTCCTCCGCGCTTGATGCTAAATTCTCATTTAAGTGTGTGAGCAAGGTGTCGTTTGACAGCGGCTATCGCAGCTACCGGCAACGTTTTAACACAGCATTTGTGTTTCGCCCATTACAGAAGGGATTTGTTTTCTATTGAAGTCCTTAATAAGGATTCCTTTTTATCCCCGTATTACTCTCAAGCAGTTTGATCATGCTTGGCGCAATATTCTTTGCGACGTTTTTGTTTCTACCTAAGGTCTGTGCAGTCAGATATCGTCAGGTCTGTCCGAAACACGTTACTGCAATATGGAATAAGCTACACAGGATTATCAAATTCTACAAAACGTTTCTTCCCTTCGAAGTATGACTATTTTATTGTATTAAGAGCATCTACGAAATTTGGATACTGACAAACTGGTACTTGTCTTCCGGTCTACTAACCATCAAGTCTTCTGAGTCCTTTGACAGTTCTCGACCTGTAGGCAATGAAATTGACGTCGGTAGCTGTGACACCATGCCAGAGCATCTCCGCCTGGAGCAGAATCCCACGACAACGAAAAGAAAAGGAGGCATAAAGCACTATACATTGTTGCAAACCCTTCCCCATTCCGAACTGGCATCGTTCACAAGTTGCACGCTTTTATCTTGAAGAACTCCAGTATCTAACAGGCATTAGGAATACTACCCTTCTGAGGAGTGTTTCCACTGTAAGCTCGATCCTACTGTCTATTACTTTTGACATTGCCCGCAAACTGATGTGAAATATATGTTTTTATTAAGTCAAGTGCCCGTGGTCATGTCAATATAATTACATCTGAAAAGCAAATACTATAAGACGCGTAATCGTTTCCCATAAGTTTGACGCTCTCATGTCATCAGGTATTAGACTTAATACGCTTGAAATCTTATAAGGTAATCAGCAACGAGGTTAAAGACAGGCCCCTTGGTCCATTGATCTGATATCTCCTAGCCAATATACTTTTAAATTATCGAGCATTGTGTATTTGTACTTTATAATATGCATTTGTTAGCGCCGGGAAGACGCTGTCTACATAAAGTAAGTATCGGAAAAAAAATTGGGACAATGTGCGCAAATAAAGTGCCCGAGTTCTTAGTAATGTAAACAGAAATTGTCCTTTTAAGGCGATGGGTAACGCTGTGTTGAAATTAACTCTGAAGCAAGAAGCCGGCAGTCAGAAACTCCTACCTCGAACATGGAGGCAGCGTTTAAAGGCGCTCCATTTTCAAAACGAGTGTAGGAAAAAAATGCCTAGGAAAACCAGATAGAGAGGTAGTTTACGCTTCGAATGCAATAGCAGTTTGGAATGAGATAATAAAGCGAATATATACCTTGCTCGTGGTCGCGTATGCGCATGAAATAAAATCTCGCAAAAAAGCGTCAGTTGACGTGGGGCCCCGACATCTCAGACGCCAGGAGGGAATTCTGGTGATGGTTAGTAGTCAAAGAAAAGGGTGTGTATCTCAATATCACTTTCACCGTTTAAATTGGCAAGTAATTTCAAAGGAATATGTACCTGGAAGCGAAGAATAGGGAGCGTTTAGACGTACAGCGCAGTTTTCTTAGGATGTAAGGACGACTAACGGTGGTAAGGACAGAAAGCTTGGGGAGATTCGAACAAAAAATAAAAATAAAAAGGAGACAAAAGTCTACGTTCAGTCTTCTGACCCAGATAAAGTTTAATTTCGTCAGCTGGCATCTATTTGACTGGGAAATATTTGAAAGTGTCGGATATAGGCGTTTTCTTGTACAAGGTCTATGGCCGTTTTCAATTTTTGATGGCTTAGATTCATTCATTAGGACGAAGAATGGGCAACAATATTCTAGAATGGGTAGCACAAAAACATCGTTAAGTCTTAATTTAATTTCACAAATTATGCATGGACGTTTCGTTGCCATTGAACGACGGCAGTGGGTAGCAATGAGTATTAGAGAGGGGGCGACCCTGCTTACTTAAAGTCGCCATGCCCATGAAACCGACCAATATAATGCTAGTATTTAGCCGCAACAAGAGGCACTTACTCAACCATAAAATGAGTTGAGTATGCATGCTCTGTCAACGCTTCAGCACGTGCTACAGTGAACCGCTCATTGTCTGCTTGTGATACTCTATCAATGTATGTATCGCATTTGACTATGTTAATAAGAAAAAACCCTTACCACAAATGTACAAATGTTAGTGGAAGCCGCTCGACGAAATCGTTCATAGCGGAATATTCGGCTGTCCAAAAGGTAGATGGAGGCTTGCAATGATGTGAACTCTTATCCGGTATGAAGCCGAAGGTTGAGTCACTACATATGCATTAAGTAGCGATGCTACAGACTAATACATGCGAGGTCCACATGTTTCCAACCCTTTTTTATATGATTAAGGGTTTGGGTCCCGTCAGTCGTCTTTTACGCGCCGCTTGGTTGTCTTCACACTGGGGTGCAACTACCCGGTTTTAGGTATTACGTTGTAAGCCTCGTCTTCTAATAATGGTGTTGAAGTCATTTACTAGATGTCGTGCCTTAAATGCCAAAACCAAGCTTCACAAATATACTCTCGCATTGGATAATTTATACCATTTGGATGATGTGGAAGGGTCAATAGACAGGTAAAAAGAAACCCTTGAAACCTCAAGCACTAAGAACGTTCCGTTTTTCACCAAAACAATTGTGTAACCTGGTTATATTAAAGAATTAATAACTCGATCAAAACTGCAACAGAAGAATATAGCTAGCGAAACCTTTCCGCCCCAATTGTCGGCGACGTTAAAATTTCCCGGCGAATGCTTCTTCATTTTTAACTCATTTTGGATGCCCGTTCTAAGTTTGGTTTACATATTGCCTTTGACGTAATTTTGTGCCCATATGTACTACCCAATTTAATTTGTTGTAAAAAAATCCGAAGGCGAACGACGTCCCTTATCTAAGCTGCAGCCCTCACATCAAAGTTATATGAAGGATACACGTTTATTGTTGCCTTTCAGGCCTATACAATCCGGCCTAGAGGGACATCGATCGGTTCATTCAAAAGTCTGAGTATCGATTCCTCATTTGCACCTAGCGCTAGCCAGCCAGTAGGATTTCCAAACGGGAGCCTGATGGAGCCTGAGCAGAAGCAATCCATTATTACGAAAAGTATCAATGTCACCATCCGAAGTTCAAGGTAGCTTTTGTTTATTGAACATTTACATTATCTTGTTTTAATATTTCGCTGTTAAGTAAATATAGAAGCCAACTTCTATTTAAATGATAGCACCTCACTAATAGGCCTCTTAACCAGATGAAGACATTTGTAATTTTTCGGGGTTTTTGGCCCTCTGAAATCCATTCGTCACCTATGGAGTTTTTATTATCTATTCTGCGAAAAATACTGGTTACATGATAGAAAACTTAAGGAAATATTCAATAATATTTTACGTTAAGTCCGGGTGTCAATGGATCCATCTACAATGGAAGCATCATGGGTGGTCAGCCTTCCTTCGTGGGTGGTCCGCAATCCTTCGTGGGTCAGCCTTCCATCGCAGGTGGAGGCAGTATGGGTGGTTCAAGGTTGATTTCCGTCAGGGCCCGCCAAATATTTGATAGTCGAGGAAATCCGACCGTTGAAGTTGATGTCGTCACCGACAAAGGTAAATTTATCTAGAGCACTATTTTATGCTTCTTATCGGAACTGCGCTAAAAACAATCTTTCCTTTAGGAACTTTCCGTGCGGGTGTTCCCAGCGGTGCTTCAACCGGCATTCATGAAGCTCTGGAATTAAGAGATCAAATTAAATCTGACTACATGGGCTTGGGTGTTTTAAAAGCAGTTGACAATGTCAACAAGATAATTGGCCCTGCTCTTCTCAAAAAACAGATTCCTCCTAGTAAACAGGAAGAAATCGACATGTTTATGGTTAACGAACTGGATGGAACTGAGAACAAGAGTAAGTTTTATCGCCATGCGCCTAACGCAAGCATATGTGGGATAATAACCTGACATTTATTTTCAGATAAACTGGGCGCTAATGCTATCCTTGGAGTATCTTTGGCTATGTGCAAAGCTGGTGCGGCTGAGAAGGTACATGGATATTTATATTATCAAACCCATTTGTCCAGGGAGTTCCGCTTTATCGACACATCGCTGACCTTGCTGGAAACAAGGACGTCATTCTGCCTGTGCCAGCGTTTAACGTCTTGAATGGTGGTAGCCATGCTGGAAACAAGCTCGCTTTCCAGGAATTCATGATTCTGCCTGTTGGAGCAAAATCGTTCACAGAAGCGATGAAGATTGGTTCTGAAGTCTATCATAACCTCAAGTCAGTCATAAAGGCAAAGTATGGTCTTGATGCCTGCAACGTGGGTGACGAGGGAGGTTTTGCTCCGAACATCCAGGATAATTTTGAAGGTACCTATTCAACCAACTAGCAGTCATAATATTTTATAAAACTGAACCTAACGATTAAATTTCAGGTTTGGAATTACTAAACGAGGCTATCGCCAAAGCTGGCTACACCGGCAAGGTAAAGATCGGTATGGACGCAGCCGCCTCTGAATTCTACAAGGAGAATTTATATGATCTTGACTTCAAGAATCCAAATTCTCCTAAAGATCAGTGGATTTCTTCGGAGAAACTTGGTGACGTTTTCAAAGAGATGATTTCCAAATACCCGATCGTTAGTATTGAAGATCCTTTTGAGCAAGATGATTGGGACGCCTGGACTCCGTTTACCGCCAGTGCCGGAATACAGGTAAGTGGCTATAAATTACGAAGTGCCGACATATTATACCACTTAATGCCTTTTTTAACTCTAACATCAAACAATTTTAGATTGTGGGTGATGACTTAACAGTTACGAATCCAAAGCGTGTCCAGAAGGCGATTGATAGTAAGGCGTGCAACGCCCTACTTATGAAAGTAAACCAAATCGGAACCATCACCGAGTCAATCAAAGCGTGTAACATGGCAAAAGCGGCTGGTTGGGGTGTCATGGTTTCACATCGTTCCGGAGAAACTGAGGACTGTACTATTGCAGACTTGGTTGTGGGTCTGCGTACCGGACAAATCAAGACTGGCGCTCCTTGCAGATCTGAACGACTTGCAAAATACAACCAGATGCTTCGGATTGAAGAGGAACTGGGTGCTGCGGCGCAGTACGCTGGCGAACGATTTAGGAACCCTTAAGTGTTCCTTGATTATTTTGGGATGTCTTTTGACATACCTTTTTTATTTTTCAGTCAAATAAATAATTTCACTTTAGCCGCCTCTGTTTCTTAATTTGTAATTAAATTTATCACTAGTAAATATTGGTTGGCTGTCAGTCGTTATCGATATAAAAATAGTCTATCAGCATTTCCCAAGTACTCGATTGGCCAAATCATTCTGCATTTTGGACATTTAACTGGCTTTGCCGCTGCGTTCTATTGCATGCATCGGGTGTGTGTGCGTCGTAGCCTATAGTTGGACCAGGAATCCGCGCCGGAATCGAAACTGGGAGTAG